AGACAAAAAGCGACAGTTATACTTCGACAAAATTCGACCTGCGTCGCTGCAAATGATGGATGGATTAATCGGTCTCGTCGACTGTTTTCGAGCCAAGCTTGGGCACGCAGTCCCATGCATCGCAGACTCTTAAATCGCTTTATTAGAGAGATTTTTACCCTAAAAATAATTGTACAGAATGTCGTCCGCCGTGAAGGCAGCAAGAGACCAATTCAGTTGTAAAATTGGAGGAGCGAGACGATTAATTTCCTATACCGCCTGACAAGAACCGCCCTAGGGGGCCTCCGTGGGATGAAAAACCAATCCAAGCAAAACTGCTGAGCAACATCGATCAAGGACCGCTAGTTAAACTAGTGGTTGATTCGTGACGTACCTAGCGCATGAGTAGTGAAGTTGAAGTGCGAACGACCCCAGTCAACCGTTGTCAGGTCGTTAGGCCGAAGGGGAGAAAAGATGGCTGCAGGAAGGGCAGAATAGCAAACATTACAGTGAAAATGGTCATTTGCACGTGACATTTTCTTTCAACTGGTCCTCTCTGCACTGTGAAAATGGCTTATGGTAACCACGACGACGACCTCGGTAGGTTGGTCGCGAATAGTTGACTAGACTAGTCCAACCATCTTCGACTCACGTGCGTTTGATCAGAGATAGTCAAACTATGGTTAACTATGGTCCTTGATCGAACTTGCTCTAATGTGAGATCATTGGGGCTCTCCACCTTGATTGAAAAGAGCCATGTTGGTGGGAAGTGTTCATTTCACTTGTAGCGACGCGACCCTGACTCGTGTATTTCATAATCAGTTGTGGACCAGCGAAGTGTCCCTTCAACCCGGCCAAAGGAGCCTTAGTTGCCAGGAAAACTGTGCCCTCTCTTGGTCCAGCTCGGGGCAGATAGGTACAAGCTCTCAATCCTATGATTAAACATGTATTTATTTTGCCACTGAGCATAATAGGAAGCTGCTACCTACAGGACAGAGTTCTTATGGGAAAACAAAAGACCAGTAAAGTCAATGTGCTTACAACAATTACCTCAACTTTACGACATATTACATACCAAACTTTCGGATAGATTGAGACAAAAACAAGAATGCATTGGGTTTAAAGTACCTTAAACTTCCAATCGAACAGCACGCACCTCAACAATGTCTAATTGGACAGTAAGTCAGGTCTTTTAAACTGGAGTAATTACCCAGCCGTCGATTGTGGCAGCAGTCAAACAGTAACTGGAAACCATGTAGCCTATTCCGATCCGATTTGGTTTGATGCTGGTGTTTTGTTTTTTTATTTAGGAAAGAGTTTTCTTTTCCAACGGGCTGCGGAGGTTTTTTCCTCCCAGCCGGAAACTACAGGCTCATTTGTGTCGGACTGGTTCGATCCACCTGTGGATTTGGGTTTTCAGTCCCTGCCTGATGTTGTTGGATTCGGCCCACAACCTTCTTGGGTTTTCCTCCTATCATGTACTGAACCTGTAATTTCCTTACAGGTTTCTTCAGGTTTCCGAGCTACAGTGCCCATGCGCCTGCTCAAGGCACCTTGAGCAGAGGCACACCCTCATCGGTTGCACAGAGCTAGGTTGATCGGGAGTGTTCATTTTGTGGGTAGCGACGCGACCGCAACGTATGTATTTTAAAGTGGTTCGTAAACCATGGACGAAGGGCAGTTCCAAAAGCGCCTCTGTTCAAAGGAAAGTGTGCCCTTTCTTGGTTCGGCTCGGGGGCACCTTCACGGCACTTTTAAGGAATCCTCGGTGTTATTAATGGAAAGAGAGAATAATAATAATAATAATGACTGGTGTCGCAGGTACCCAGCGCTACCGTTGCAACCAACTTGATAAATAATTGTATCCGCCCCAAGCGGAACCTGGAAAGGGCGCCATTTTTCCTAGCGCCAGAGACTCCTTTGGTTATTCAGTTCGCTGGTGCCCGACAGGCTACGAAATGCATACTTTGCGGTCGCAAATGATTTAATTACAATAACATAACGTGTATAAAATGTATCAGAACAACCGTTTAAAACGAATGGCAACATCTAGGTCCAGAGTGATGCTACAGCTTTTGTTCTCCAGCCTATGGCGACAGCCCAACGGACAGACAGCCCAGTCCCCCGAGAGACAGACCCGTCAGCCAGACAGACAGACTAGAGACATACATGAAGCCATGGGAAATAATCGTTATTACCCCTTCAGCGTTTTAGCATGCAGTACGGAAATGGGGCTTTAGTTTACTAGTAAAACTATGGAGAGCGGGTGATGATTTTTTTATAGAATCACCCTGATTATTCCAATTTGAAATGCCGCGTCGTATTTGTTTTTGGTTCTACAAAAGCTAACAGTAAATCAGCAGTTATACAGCGTGTCTTATATGAATGAATATTGGAAGTTGGTGCAAAACAGGAGTTGAAACAAACAGGTGATGCATGATTCATATATTTGCACAAAAATTTGCCTTAAATGAAATAATACAAGTCATAGAAATGCAGTAAATTCAAATTTGCAAATGTTGGTCCAGAGTGTTCGGAAACCCAGTTTTAGAAATAACCCTGAGTGCTCGTTTCGGCAGAGTATTTCTTTTGCATTGAGGAGTCGGACAGAATTTCAAAAAATCAAATACGGTAAAATGAAGGAGTTATTTAACCCTAACCGTCCTTAATCCTTCACCTGTTGGAGGACTGAGGACTGTTGGGGTTAATGTGAGTAATGTGCCACAGGGTAAATGGTATTCTAGACGGTTCGTTATACCAGATTTTTAAAAGATATTTTAGCTGAAATGTCACTAATCATGTTTCCTCTACGTTCGATTTTTGTCAATATGTATTTGCAAAGACGCAGAATAACTTTTAAAATAGTAACAGAAACACCCTCCAACCTTGTTTTAAATGACCTAGACGGTGAAAATCATAATTTTCACTTGGCCTTAAGGACGAGGCGCAGACAAGGCAGGTTGGGAGTCTACGATTGAAAGAGGCATGTCACTAAAAGCAACAGCAATGGTGTTTATAGGGAAACAGAATTGGGGAATGGTCCGACAAAGTGAGATTGAGAGGAGATGAGATGCAGAGTGAGGTCGGATGGGTTAGACTGAGAAGGAAAACCACAAACGCAATCCAAGATAAAATCGTCTGCTTTGAAAACAATGCTTCTCCCTAGTGGAGGCTATTTTATGTGCTCGGCTATTTTATGTTCTCGGCCGTCCGGCAACGCCGCCAGGAGATCCGGCCTGACGTGCGGCTGCCGCCGCTGCAGATGAGGATGATGAACCCCCGGCGTCGCCCTTGTCGAAAATCAGCGGTTAGTAGTCACTCTGCTGCTGGGGCGCTGTCGGCAATCCTGGTGCTGTAGATGTGCTCCGGCCCACTGGGGATCACTGGCAGGCCTGTGGTTGTCGGCTGAGCTGTCGATGGTGCCGAAACCCCGACCCCGGCACGGGAACCCACGGGAAGAGCTCCGCTGACCGATGCGACATTGGCATCTCGACCACCTGCACCTCGATAGGTGACCTTCTGCTGCAATAAAAATAGACCGAGTACTTTTAAACCTCAAGGAGTTACCAAGACCGAAACCTCCAGTAGCATCCTCCGATCACCTCTCACGCCCACTTTCAACCACTCCATTTCTTTCAATTAATTTGAAGCGTAAGCGCTGTAAAAAAGCCTTTCTTTGGGGTGGAGATTTTTGACAGACGGAAACAATTGGACAGCCGTTTCAAAATATATGCCATTAATCGATCCATCCCAGTACCTGTACACCACTGCACTGTGCCTGAGGCTTACGAAATATCTAAGGGCCAACGAGAATTTGACAGTAATACAACGGCACCGATGCAGGCTTCTTTAATTGTCGAGTTTGGACAATCTTGAGAGTATGGTATACCTGAAAAGCGTTGCATCCACAAGAAATGCGAGTCTCCAGCGCTTGCCAGCGTTGTGAAATGCATTCCGGTACTCAACATGACTGAAAGGGGTGGAAGTAAAACCGACTTTTGCTTACCTTTACGACAACTGGCAGTTGGACCTTCTGACTGAAATCGCGGAGGAACAGAACAAAGGCTACGGCTGACATAGCACACAGGAACAGCGACACCAAGATCATGCCGATCCGCAGCTCGATGGCCAACAATGATTGTGGCTGCCAGGTGGCGCTCAACACCACGCACTTCAATGTCAGAAGGACTCCCAATTTGTCCAGGACGAGGAAAGTTACCCCTGCCTGATGGAATCACAAAGTTAGAAAAGCCACTGTCGGAGGGTGGAATACAAATTAACGTCCAAATTGAGTATTTGTAATATCAATCGACAGCTGACTGTTTCTGTATCAATGGGTACACGTTGCTTGGGACCCCCAACGTGTTAGAAGAGGCTCTAATTTATAGTTGGTTTCCAGGTGAGGTGAAAGACAGAAATTAGGGACGCAGCATAAAACACACAAACTTAAACTCAGGATACCAGGCAAATTCAACCAGTGCTGAATTGTGGTTGGTGATCGAACGCCGCCAATGGACATGCGCGACTCACATGTGATAATAATCCAACACAAACCCAAATGGTCAAACGTCCGGTACAGCACTGGGGTGAATCATGACATTGTTATTAGGTCCTGTTTTTATTTCTTTAATTCGGAGGAGAAAAAAGACCAAATGTCTAGTTACCACTGGTTTTCCTTCCCATCCGTTTATAGATATGGCGAGTCCAAACGTAGACATGAGCAGAATCTGGGCATCAAAATGAAGAAGAAATTTCCATTTTGATCAGTGGAAAAATTGCAGGAAGTCAGCCTAACACTCGACGACTTAAACCATCTACTCACCCCCCCCCCCGTTCTGGCAGCGCGACTTCAGAACGCCATCATTATTTGTTCGGAACATGTTCCTTTTTAATAATTTCAATATTTTTAGATTTCCTTGAAATTAAAATGGTTTTAGGATAATCATATTCCATCATTTTGAGTAAATGAGGCTGTTTATTTTTAATGTGTCACTGCTGCTACTGTCGCTGCTGTCGTCGTCGAGAAAGTTGTTGATATCATGCGCTGCTGTGAGGTGTCGTCGTCATGGTCATTGCTGTCGCCTTTTGTCAGTCTCCTTTGAAGGAGTGCTACTGCCACTATGTCTTGTTTCCAGCTGGCTACGCACGTGCTTTTTGTCGGTGTTGCTCAAAAGAACGTTAAGTTATCATGACTTACGAATGCACCAGTCCATGCTGGAGAGGCGTAGATACTCGGCACGTTTGGGCAGGCTCCTATTTGAGTGCATGGATTGTACAGTGACACCAACGTCACGCCCCCAAGGAACAGGAGCAGACTCGGCACCAGGGTTTTCACAGACTTGTACGCCATTCCGGAGTGGCACCGGACGCACACGAGGTCGAAGACTTCTAGAACGGAAAGCCCGGCTGAGGATTAAGACGGGAAACACAAAATATCTATGACCATGCCAAAATGCGCTCCAAATGGCACCCAAAAGAAAAGGATAATCAGGTTGAATGGGTTGCAATGGAATCTGCACAAGAATTGCATTTGGAATGCACATAGTTTGAGGCCTCTGAGGCTCACTACCTACCTTTTTGATACTCTGACAGTGGAAGGGTGTGTGTTGAGACGGCCCAGCTTTGACAACGATCCCGCTGAATCCGCAATTGCTATTAAAACTTAAGGGTAACTTTCCACGATGGTGGCCTTGCTGAAATGCATGCGCCAAGAGGTAGTGCGTATCCCGGAAATGAAATGTTCTCGTACAACTGTTGTGTTATCAAAACATCACACCGTAACTGCTCCCCCTCAACTGATGGCAGACCTATTCTTGTTGCTCAGTCGCCCAAAATTATTATCATCATCAAAATAATAATGTCGAAAATCAGCAGTTGGTAGTAACTCTGCTGCTGGGGCGCTGTCTGCGTGGGAAAGCGGTTGTGCGCATGCACAATATTTGCGCCATTTATGTGTGTCCTCTTGTAGTAAAAAGTACTATGAATATTAATGAGCTGAAAGGATTACCTTAATTAAATCCTTTTTAGAGGCACTGTGTTAATGAATATTTATAGAATAGGGCTTATTAAAAAACACAAAATTGACCTTTTAATTGTCAGTAAGTTCGGCCATTTTGGGTGCCGGATACGCGTGAGAAGAGTGTCTAAAAGTTAACGTCTGTTTGTGATTGATCGACGACTACGGGATTTTTGACCGTTGTTAAAGCCTCAAAAGTATTGCTCCTAGAGTTTTGCCAGTCTAGGCTTGACAGTCAGAGTGAAGAATAGACCTTTTACAATCTATATGTGCTCTGTGAGCTGTGCAAACCGAACGGTACGCATTTACAAGGCATTACACGACACGCTGATTTTTGCATTGATACACTACATCTTGGAGAAATATCCACGAGAGCTCTACGCGCGTGATGGTTTCATGGGCGCCCTCACCGTGAAGGAGTTGCTCCGAAGTACATGCCGTCAGGTACGTATCTTCAAATAGCATTATTTTTAATAAGTTTGACAAAGACAAACATATACACAACAAATAGGCCTGTGTGTTTACTCCATTGCACAGTACCTGATGCTGATGAGTTTGATGAACCCCCGGCGTCGCCCTTGTTGAAAATCAGCGGTTGGTAGTAACTCTGCTGCTGGGGCGCTGTCGGTGCCTCGTTGGC